CAGGAAAAGCGAAAGAAGCCATAGAGAGCTGCGTCATTCTGCCCGAAGACAAAGGATATAAAGAAGCCAAGGTGATTCTTGAAAGAAACTTTGGAGAACGACATGCGGTTGTCCGTGCGCTTATTGAAAAGGTAGTGAAAGGTCCACAGATAAAGTCCAACGATCCAGAGAAACTCTTACAGCTCTCAAGAGACATGAAGAATTGCCTACTGAACGCAACGCAAATGAATTACTCAGCGGATATCAACTCCATGGACAACTTGGAAAAGGTTGTAAGACGTCTTCCAATTCACCTTCAAGCGAAATGGGCTGAAGAATCTAGTACCTTGATGGCACATGGCATTGAACCAATCTTTAGTTACCTGGCAGATTTCGTAGAGAAGAGAGCATCTGTAGCCAACACGGCATTTGGAAAGCTGGTCGGTGCTAAGCCAGACGTTGAAAGTGCAGTTAAAGCCAAAGCCACCTTCCCAGTAAGAAGTGTCTTCGCTGCCCAAGCTGTAAGTAGCGATATAGCGTCTCAAAGCGGAAAACAACTGGAAGTATCCACWGCTCGATCTACCAAGCCTGAGGTTAGAAGCTGTCTGTATTGCCATGGAAATCATTCAATCGACAGGTGCTTGAAGTTCAAAGACAAGGACWACACCGAAAGAAAGAACTTTGTCAGGAAAGAAAAACTTTGTGATAATTGTCTTMGAAAAAACCACATCGCTTGGAATTGTAAAGGTATCCCAGCATGCTGTGTAAGYGGATGCAAGAAACGCCATCACTCCCTCTTGCACCCTACGATGTCGCAAGAAAGCAGTGCTTCGGATGCTGCCAAGTCTACCAGTGTCGAGCCTAATCAAACCTCGAGTCAGTTAAGTTCTTGTGGAGCGACCTCGAGTGTTAAACAGCCACGTGTTTGCATGAAGATCGTCCCTGTGAAAGTCAGTGGGATCGATGGAGSTACTGAAGTTGAAACATATGCCTTTCTTGATGGTGGTTCGAACGCAACACTATGTTTGAATGAACTCGTGGATCAACTTTCCYTGAATKGTGCGCCCACTAACGTCACTTTGTCCACTGTAAGTGGCAGTTATAAAGGACAAGGAAAAGAAGTGAAATTACAAGTCAAGAGTTTGGATAATGAAGAGTGTATCTTTCTAGACCATGTCTTATCTGTGAGTCGCATTCCTGTAGCAGAACAAAGTATAGCACGCAGTGACGATATTGAAAACTGGACACATCTTCAAGGCTTGCAGTTTCCCAAGCTAGAAGAAAAAGAAGGTCACCATACTTATAGGAAGTGATGTCCCAGAAGCTCATTGGAATCTGGAACAGCGTCTTGGACAAAGGAAACAGCCTTATGCAGTACGTACCTTGCTAGGATGGACACTGGTGGGTCCAACTGATCGCTCCTATTGTAACAGCGTACACGTCAATCTGATCAAAGCCGAGCAAGAGGAAATAACAAATCTACTTGAGCGTATGTACAACGCAGACTTCAAGGACGGTGTTCAGGCCGAATCCGATGTTATGTCACTAGAAGACCGGTATGCTCTTAACTTAATGAAAAACACATCAATCTTGGTCGATGGTCACTATCAGCTGGGTCTTCCTTGGCGTCCTGGAGCTCCAGTTCTTCCAAATAACAGGTCGTTAGCAGAGAAACGTCTTGATCTCCTCAAGCGCCGTCTTCAAAGAGATCCAGTTCTTCACAGCAAGTACAAAGAAACGATGGACGAATACATCAGGAAAAACCATGCGCGTAAAATCCCACTTGAAGAGCTAGATGGAAAGAGTAATCGTGTATGGTACCTGCCGCACCATCCCGTTGTCCACCCTCAGAAGCCAGACAAAGTCAGGATAGTGTTTGACTGTGCAGCGAAGTTCTGTGATGTTTCTCTGAATGACCAACTCTTGAAAGGTCCTGATCTGACGAACAAGTTAGTCGGAGTCCTTTTACGTTTCCGCGAGCATCGCGTTGCCATCATGGCGGACATAGAGAAAATGTTTCACCAAGTGCGTGTTCTTCCTCAAGATCGTGATGTACTACGATTTCTTTGGTGGCCTGATGGCGACTTATCACAAAGTCCTAGCGAACATCAAATGCTGGTTCATCTGTTTGGAGCCAAGTCCTCCCCAAGTTGCTCAAGCTTCGCACTTAAAAGGACGGCGCAAGACAACAAACACACCTTCAGCATGCAAGCAGTGGATACAGTTAATCAAAACTTCTACGTGGATGACTGTCTTAAAGCCGTTCCCAGTGCTGATGATGCTATCAAGCTGATAAGAGAACTCTCCAAGATGTTATCTAATGGTGGTTTTCGTCTAACGAAATGGATCAGCAACGATCGTCACGTAATGGCTTCAATTCCTGAAGAAGATCGTGCCAAATCCTTCAAAGACTTAAATCTGGACGACCTCCCTGTCAACCGAGCTCTGGGCATGGAATGGGACGTGGGAAAGGACACCATCAGCTTCCGTGTTGACGAAAAGCCAACCTCGAACACTCGAAGAAGCATATTGTCAATGGTATCATCCATTTACGATCCTCTGGGATTTGCCGCACCCTTCGTCTTACCTGCCAAACGGATGCTGCAAGAGTTATGCAAGAAAAAATTCGGTTGGGACGATGTGATACCAAATGAAAACCTCAGTGAATGGCAAAGCTGGTTACAAAGTCTCCCCAAGCTAGGAAAAATGTCTGTACCTCGTTGCCTGACGCCAGAAGAATTTGGTGATGTAAAATCTGTTCAGATTCATACCTTCTCAGACGCTTCAGAATCTGGTTACGGCGCTGTGTCCTACATACGCCTAGTTGATGTACAAGGAAGAATCCATTGTGGTAT